TAATAATATTTTATTTTTTTAATTATATATATATATATATATAATGTAAACATAATAAAGTATGCAATTATAAGTAATATCTTTGTAGTAATATATATTTTTGAACCACGCAATATCTCTTTTGATATTTTTAATATTTTACATGAACGTCTTCTTCTCTTCAGCACTTCAATTTATTTTCTCTTCACAGTTTGTCTACTCAATAATCAATTAGATACTCAGAAAAAATAAAATGATGTGTAAACCTTGATTTTCTCGATACATATTTCAGATATTTCATCATTTTCTTATTATGAATTCACAATTGTTTAAAGATTTCAAATTAGGAATAATTAATCCATTTCGTTATCTTGTTTGAAGTAAAATAATTCCAAATTGCTATTCCTAATATTTAATGTTTATTTTTATTTCTAATATTTTCTTTATTGTGCGTAGGATATATTTCTATTACAATAAAATTAAGTCTGAATTCGCAATTATATAAAATCTTAATATAAAATTTGTCAGTAATTTGCCATATTATAATATGCTTTCTCTTATCTTCTCTTCTCCTCTCCTCTCTCTCTCTCTCTCTCTCTCTCTCTATCTATCTCTCTCTAAAAAGTTTTCTTTTCAAAATTTGTTTTTAAATTCTAATGTTGCTTTATGATATAATACTATATATAAAATTACGAGTGATATAATAACAAAATATTTTCAAAATATACATTTACATTTTACATATATGTACATATATAAAATGCAACCGATCTCTTACGAATGTTTATGAAATTGCATGCACGGTCAATACGAATAAGCAATATTTGCAAATAGTCGAATCTATTTACCATAATATTGAATCGCCAACATTGATTGCAAGATTCGGTTACAATTTCGCAAAGTCAATCAAAATCCAATCGATCCCTATTAAAATCGTTTTAATAAACACGTTATTTCGATAAATATTCGAAAAATGCTCTGTCAAGTGAGCTTTTATTTCCAATAGTAAGTTTACGTAAACGTTTGTTAAAAACTATAATTACGCTGAGAAATTAATTACGTGTCTCCGGTGAGTGCCATCACTGCAGATAACAATTCCCATGCAGCCTCGTGTATCTATCACGTCCCCATTCATGCTCTTACAGCGATGGTATTATAGTCTGTCCATATGTTCTCTTTGTCTCTCTCTCTCTCTCTCTCTCGTAAACAACTACCGTCTCATTGTTTAGCACTTCTCTCATTAATAACGTCTTCTTATCCAACAATATCGCCCTTAATGTGACAACTGTCGACTCGAAGCTGTAGCTTATGAAGTTCTTTCTAAGTTGTTAATTGTATAAATTTATATAATTAATTATTTCTACAATCCTGTGCTTGTCTAAATCTTGTGCTCGATACTTTGACATAATTGTTATGTTTGATATATGTGGATTGTCAAAATATATTGACATGTTTGACATGTCATTATTTATTGTGTAACGAATAATGATCTCCCATCATAGTTTCAGCAAGTAAAAAGCAATTTTAAATTTGAAACATGTTATTAAAATTTGATACGCTTGTAAGAAATGTGTTATTCTGTGTAGAATGTGTCTATAAAATTTGTATTGAACTTAAAATTCTTTGACTGAATCTTCGATAATTTCACGTGCATTTTAATTATGCAAAATTTTACATAGATCACGACACACTTTCTAGAATTATATTGTTTTGATGGAGAATTTAGAACGCCATCAAAATATTCATTAATCTATGATAATCTAGTGCATAAAACTGCTTTTTGCTCTTCATAACAATCATTTATAATAATATAGAATTTTATCACAGGATTAATTATATTAATACAAAATTAACTCGATAATACAATTTTTTTAAAATTACAACTTTTTTAGTCAACCAGTTGTCATAATCATGGGAGCTATCATGGAATTATTTACGATTCCCATCGCAAGTTTCCGACTAGCGGGTTTTTCATCACGATTCTGCCTGTGTCTCTCAATCTTAATCGTGAATCTTCTTTGGAACCGACTTATCGTTGTCACGTGACGAAACAAACGGTAATGGTCTTCCGCAATCTTTTTCGCCCGAGGCTTTGTCCCGATTGGAACTGATTTCCCGCTTGCTCGCAAGGCGTTAGAAATTATCCGATCGTTTCGACTATTATCCGAACGTTTACGATAGGGCAACTGACGAGAAACAGAATCGATCCGATTGGAAACCTCTCCGAATAGTTTCATGATAGCTCGCCGGCTATATCATTATCTAGCCCTGTTGTTAAAAAACTGACTGTTGTTAGAAAATTTCACCCATTGCCAAGATGATGGTAACAACTCATTCCAATAAATTGTCTGTATAGTTTGACTATGGATTGATTTAGTCTCTTTTTCGCGATCGTCCTCTTTCTGCAAGGTTGATTTTCCGCAGAATAAATGAAGAAGTAGGAGAACGAGGAAATACAGCAGTTCCACGATGCTGATGAGACTGAAGCCGATGAAGACACCACATATACCGCCCATATCGCCTGCAAAATGGCCAGTCTTTACAATACAGCAGCCTTGATAGCGTGGAAGGATAAGACGATCCAACGAAACGGCCGCGCGTTTTTTAATGTCGTACTTAAAAGGATAAGAAACGTTACGTGCAGTGGCGATTTACGCTGTAAAAACGATAATGGATTTTTACAACGATATCTTACAACCATGTTCTTTTCCTTCTTTACAAGACTACTGTTCTTTAATCAATACCTTACAGATCAGATATACATGGTGCTATATTTTAATAGCTAATTCGTGAAAATAGTACTTAATACTTATTTAAAAATAGAAATTAGTTATTATTTTTTCAGATTTTTTTAAATATATATAAATCATCAAATATATATTTATGTTAAAATTATATATATTTCTCAAATCATATATATTTAAATAAATCATATATATATATAATCATATATATTTTTTTCATATATATTTCTTGCTTCAGTAGTTTGCTCGCAAAGTGAGCGTTAGCAACTAGAAATTGCGTTCTTCGTGAGAAAAAAAGAATTCTCTTTTTGCACGGAGAATCAGAAAAAAATAGAGAAACGTTACATACGGTCGGATATTAAAATTTCATTTTTGAGAACCCTTAGGTATATTGCAGAAGGCGCGGGCAAAAAATTTCTGTTCCACATTACTTTATTTTTGTTTATAAGATATCTTTTTTATATGTTCTATATCAACTGTGAAAAGAATTTTCCTACTGCTAATTTACATAACAAATGCAATGACATGATTTGCCTTGCGACATGCAATTAATTAAGTATTGTAAAAGCATAAATCTCCAAAAATTATTTAATTTAAAATTAATTTAAATTATTTAATTTTTCAAAATTTTAATTATAGCGCAATGTCTATATTTAATATTATTAATGCCAAGTTTATGAATATAATTATAAAGTTTGATAAAATTATCTCTCTTCTATGCCTATCAATTTTATTTATTTATTTTATAAAAAAAGTAAATAACATTATAAATGCATAATTGTAAGATTCACTGAGATAGAAAATATCAATAGAATAAAAATTTTATATTTAATTATATTAAATTAATAATTGATTTTGTATTTAAATTATTAAATTGTACTTTATATAATCTCTCTTAAAAATTCTTATTTTGCAATAAAAATTTCAATTTATGCACAATTAAAAATCCTCGGCTCTATTTAACACTTCACTAAAACAAAATTTTTTTGTCAATGTTTACTTACTCAGCAGGTCGTACCAGTAATAAATCACGTCTTGCTTCAACCTAATTGAGTCATAGTTCGAGAAGTAAACGTGCAGTATCCCCTGATCTGTGACGTTAAAGTTCGATCTGAAATGGAATTGTCTCTAGCTCCTTTTTTGATGTTCAGAGGATTTTCTTCTTTGTATTTACAAGCTATTTTTTTATATTGACAAGGATGCTATATACTTACAGTAAATCAGTTCTGTATTCACCGGTCGACATATAACTTTTTGAACTTAACACATCATAACCAGTATCTTTGCAAGTAGGATAGCAAATGTTACAATGCAAAGCCCATTCGCTGTCTGGAAGAACCTCTTGTTTATTCTCATGAGGATAAACGGTGAACCATTTAGCTATATCAAAAATAGAATTAAAAGATTTATATAGCAGATATTGAGGTTTCGTTATTAATATAATTAAAATTATGAATGAGTTTATAATTTTACATAATAAAAGCAAATAAAAAATATATCAAATATATATCAGAGTTTTGAAATATATAACATATATTAGTTATTTTTTTTATATGAAGAAAGGGAATTCGATAAATTGAAAAAACTATAAATTGACAATATATTGATAACAGACACACTTACTCTTATATTTAGTCAGGCAAGCTAAGTCGGCGTTGGTACAAATACGCTCCGAAACTAGAATAAAACATGTACATATATACATATATGCAAATTTTGTACGGTAACGTATAAATCTATCATAAATAAAGAATATCTGCGAAATTAATTTATAGAAAAGAAACAGAATTCTTGTATACGCGATTGAAATTTATTAAAACATCTCTTATGTATAATAAGCTCAAATAAATATATATATATATATATATATAACATATGATACAAATATGAAAAATAATAGCAGACGATAATAAGACTGCTTTCTTTTGCATGTGCATCTGTCTTTATTTTTATTTATATATATATATATATATATATATATATATATATATATATATATATATATATATATATATATATATATATATATATATATATATATATATATATATATATATATATATATATATATATATATATATATATATATATATATATATATATATATATATATATATATATATATATATATATATATATATATATATATATATATACAACTCTTAACTACAGCTATATTTTATGACATTCTCTCTTGGAATATATTTATTTTAAAAATTGTGACATAAAAACATTTTTTGATTCACGTTTTTAGAATATTGACATATTTCGATATTTTCTTTCTAAGCTGATTCATAGGAATATGATACGATTACATTTTAAACTAAATTTTGATAAAATTATGTCTCTCTTTCTCTCTCTCTCTCTCTCTCTCTCTCTCTCTCTCTCTCTCTTCTATCGTTATCTTAAATTATTACTATAAATTAGAAATTACTCGCGTATTAGCAAAAATCATCGAAAATTTCTTTTATTTCTCGTAATCTCAACGAGCTAAAGCTTCACTATATCATATCGTATTTGCCAAGATAAAATCGTGTTATCACCGAAATCTAGTTTCGACGTGAGATGAAACTACAAAAATAAGAGTTTTCAAAAAAACACTCATATTTTGAGCAGTACAAGGTAGAATAGATGGAGAATACATCATGCGGGCATTGTCGCACGTGTTGTTGATTAATATGGAGAACGAAGGAGGCAGAGCGTCGCGAGAAAAACGAGTCCAAGCACCCTGTGCTATCGATAGAGCGCGCGAGAAAAAGAGCAATCGGAGCGGCTTTAAAACGAAAGAACGGAAAAAGGGAAAG